ATTACTTTGCCAGTATGTCAGTGTTCGTATAAAAACGTAATTTAGGCTTTAAGGTATCTACATTGACTTACAATTATGTGGACGTCGGGTCCGCGCTAAAAAGTGTCCGCACTTGTAAGGCGCTAAAATCGTATACAGAGCGCCAAACTCCGCTTTAGTCTTCATTTGTTCGACTGACAGCGCGATACTGCGATGACATTACAATTTAAATTTCGAATAGGTTGACTTGGGACATTTTTTTCGTGGTTTTTGTATTAGACCCGTCGTCCATTTATTTGTAAGTCAATGGGTATCTAAAACTCTTATGACTATTTATTTTAAGGTTGCGAAACTACAAACGGGCTCATGTCAATGTTTAGACAAAGATAATACAGTCACATCACATCACAGTGTTTCTCAACTGTGAACTAATATTTATGTGGTCTGTGACAGTGACTCAGATTAAGTAATGGGCGATGAATAATATTACTGATGAATAAGAATGTGGTTGTTTTTATAAGTTTAATTGTGCATGACATAAACAATACATACAAATATAAAAAAGTTTGTTTTATTTAAGAAAGTCTTTGTTATCCTGTCATAATCTAAGCGAAACAATTTGCCTCAAAAGCGTAACAACGCGGAGCTGAATGTTCCTGGATGAGTTAAATACTTTTGAGATGGGCCGCTATTCTAAAAAGCTATCGGTATAATGTCTGTACCTATAATAACTTTCATCTTTTCTGTTTATAAATACCTATCTATTACGAATTTGAGTCACCCGGCTTTTCGCACGGCCGACTGCCGACGGGCCGTGAAATACAACTGTCACATTAATATTGAAATTTAACTCACATCTCTATTTATAATTATGTATATCGTATGTTAGCTATTTCAAAAATATGTCAATCTTGTTTTTTTATGATACCAAGTGAATGTTGATCATCATGAGCTAAAATTATTTCCTAAACTTTGATGACATTGTGTGTTACAAAGTAATTTATAAATGAACGCTTCCTAATTAAATCAAAACATCAAAATCAAAATAATCTTTATTTCATAGGTAAGTATTATTACACTTGAAATCGTCACATTGGTAAAACTCTACCGCTCATTCGTAAAGCAGATCCCCTGAGAAGAATGAGCAAAAAAAACTAGGGTTTGCTCTTTGTAAATAACATTTGTACATATTCAACATTTACAATATATATTTTTTTGCTTTGAAACATCAGAGATCGATACTACTTCCATGAGCTAAACGGATTACTACCACGGATTTTTGTCATCATCAGTACGCAGAAGTTGTATAATAACCCTTAGTATAAAGTTTTTGTTTCACTATACTGTTAAACCTCGTGAATGTCAAATTTTTTATATCAACCGGAATCTTGTTACAGAAGCGTAAACATTGCCCCTGAAATGAATTTGCGACTTTGTGAAGACGACTATCAAGAAAGGCTAGTTTATTTTTATTCCTCGTATTAATGTTATATCTGTCTCTTTTTTTCATAAAGAAATTACTATTCCTCTTAACATAAATTACTTTTTCATAAATCTACTGTGACGCTAATGTAAGAATGTTAATTTCCTTAAACTTATCTGTCAAAGATACTCTGGGCCCCAGATTGCAGGACAAAGATTCCATTGATATCGGCGGCATTACCCCAAAGCAAAATGCCGTACGTCATTAGACTGTGAAAGTAGCTGAAGTAAACCAATCTAACGGTTTCGACGTCTGAAAGTTTCCGTATTTTTTTAATCGCGTACACTGCAGAGCTGGGCCGTTTTGATTACTTACTTATATGTGGATCCCATTGCAATTTAGCATCTAACGTTGTACCTAAAAATACAACTGTGTCCACAAGATTCCATTGTTCGTAACTACAATGTTTGTAACCGTCTCTCTAACATTGGGTAATGTAAATTTCACACTCACAATGGATGTGGGCGTTTAAACGGAAAGCATTTAAAAAAGTTTGCTTTTTAAAATAGATAGATAGATAAACACTTTATTCACTGATATAGATTAAGCATAAAAGAAAAAACAAAACATGTCCATAACAGTGAAACGGCGCTGACTTAACATATGCCATGGTTTCCTAAGGCGCTGGTTTTCAGGCAGGACCAAGGAGAGGTATTAAATTATTTAAAAGCAAAAATATAACGACTACGCGGAAAGTTATACATTGACAATAATATATTGATAATAATATGATTGGTAATAATATGCATAGATAAGTGTAAATAGTGCATCCAAAATAACCTGTTTGACATGTGAGTGCATGAGCGAATGTGAATATAATTACAGCTGTATGAGTAAGTTGTGATTGTAAAGAGGTTTTTAATTTGTGTAATGTATTTGGTATATAATATAATTATACACATGATGTGAATAGATCAAGGCAACAAACAAAATTCGATTCTAGACAGACTACGTTAAAGAATAAAAACACACTACACTGGTTTTTGAAGTGAGAATAGGTTGGCGAGTTTGGGTTTGGATGACTCGTTGCGTATAGGTGGTGGAATATCATTCCAGCACTTTGAGGCCGAGTATTTGAAACTACCTCGAAAAGTTACAATTCTATGTTGTGGTACCATAATTACATAAGCGCGCTTTTAAGTTTAAGCGTAAGCGTTGGTCAACGTGCTTATGTTTCAAGTCCCACCATTTATGTTTCCTAAACAAAATAATTCGTCAGTGTGAATAATAATTTTATAAATACAAATAAAACTCGTATTTCACAATAAACTTACTTAAAACATTTAATGGTCTACTTTTGTTTTTCGCTATCAACATAACGTTACATGCTTTTTTTAACTTATATCTATTCGCTTACACGTTTTTGTAAATTTTTTTATAAGCTTTAAACTAAAAAGCGCGAGAAAATTGTTTTAAAAAGCACAACGTTTTAACGTTTAAAAAATAAGGGGTTTTTCCATCTCTACCTCCTAACATAGATAGATAAAGAATTAGGAAATGGCGGGCTTTTGACGTTACAACTACAGTCAAGAATATTTTTATTTCAACTATATTATGAAGAAAAAACGAAGAAAGGAATATTGATGAAGAAAGGTAGTACTATATTTCTTATTTTCAACCAAGGTACAAAAGATTTTATCCTACAAATTCCAATTTAATACGAATTCAAAGTTTTTGTTCAACGTGATTGAAGATAATGTGATTTAAGTCAAGGAGAAAATATAAATATTGACTCCCGCCGCTTAAGACTATTTAAAAAACCCAAATAAGTGAGCTAAGTTATTTAAGAGAAAGTGAAAACATAATGTATTAGAACCACAATGGAAAAGAGTACTGAGAATCCCGATAACTAAACGAAGACTTGGCTCAAAGGACTTGTATCCAAGCCATTTTAATTTTTGTAATGGAATACAAAAAAGAAATTACTCTCAATCTTGGCTGTATGGCGCATTAGTGCCTTTGCCTTTTCCAATGGAAAAAACAATATAAAAAAAAAGATAAAGAATTACCAGCACTATCCATAAAAATCTGTGTAATAAGCGCCATCTAGTTTATTTGTGTGCTATCACTAGAAATCAGCGTAGATTTGATAAATAGCGGGTTGTCAATGTAAAACAAATTAGATAATATTGCCATTTGGTACTCGTCACGACATCTGGTATGCCATTTGTACTAAATACCCGACTACGCAGTCATGTAACACGTTTAACAGTCCTATTGAGTTATTGGTCATTGAACTAAACTGTCCTAAGTGAGTATGTTAGTAAGAATTATATGGGTCTATGCCTGAAATTCTATTGTAGACATTTATGTACTCATTTGGAACACCCTTTTCTAACCATTGGTTATTTACAGCAAAAAGTTGCATATCACGCTCACATACGACAGCTTTTAGTACCTTTTTTTTTTTGCTTTGTATAAAAACCATGAAACTAAGCTCTCAAACATATTTATTACCTTTATATACTTAATTATTAAGTAATATATTTATTCGTATTTTCACCAAAGATTAATTAAACATTTTCCATTTTTACATACTTAATCTATTTCGATAACTACTATGAAATACTTACATAAAGGAACATAGTAGCGTTGTATTGTAAACGTCATTTGTAATCATTTCTCACGATGTTTTCCTTTATTTATAATTTATTGTTGAAGAAAGAGGTTTACGATTACAGATTTGTTGTTTACAGTTTTTCTAATTCTAAAAAAAACTAAATATAATGATTAAAAAGGTCCTTTATACTAAATGTTTCAATCTCACATTGAAATCAAAACCGTCACTAAAGTCTCGCCTTTTCAAATTTCGCGCCATGCAAAGATACGTTTGACACCCACTAAATAATGTAATAATAAATAATCATAGTCTGTGACACGCACCCGTGCCAATAGTCTTCTTAGTTTTCGCTAGATGGTATTAGTGTCACGCTGAGGCAATGCGCTGCGTTACCTCTTTGAAAGTCACCTTTACACACACTATCAACACTGAATCGCATTAAGCCAGTCAGGAAAACCTTTATCTCCATGTAGTAAGAGCGAAAAAATCGTGCGTTTCACGTCGGCGATCCGTGCGCAGCGGGCATAATAATACTTATTCCCTGTGCGTAAGAATGTCATCAAAATCAAAACAAGTACCTACTGAGGCAGTGTCATTTTTTTTATAAAAAAAATAAATGCGCATTTGACCTCCATCTGATGGAAAGTGACGATGTGGTCGATGATGGAGCACGCATACCTAAATAATGTCTGTCACTCTTGCCTTCAAAAGGCTCAAGTTATAGCGTTCAGGGGTTATGTCCGCAGGCAAGAAATTCCACTCCATAGCCGTTTGCCATATAAAAGCGAAACGCTTCTTGCGGATCCTTGGAATATCCTCAATATAGGGATGGAAACCCAACCTACTTTTAGTCCCCCATTCAGGAATGGGGGACATTTACTGCATAATATATCTTAATAGGGATAGTAACAAAAAACAGGCTTTATAGAAACTGCCAAAAAGTTTATTAATAAAAACGCCATACTCCAAACAATTATTTAAAAAAACATTATCACTTCTCAGTAACTATCTTGAATAAATAAAACATTATCACGATTTATTTTCAAAGTCTTTTATAGCCATTTCTCGGACATTGACCTTTGTACATAGTGTTCGCATTGGTTTGAACGTGCGAAATGTTAGAAAAGTAATTCTATGTTACAAATTGGACTTGGTACCTTTAACTTGTTTACTTCTATATTTAAATATCTCCTGCACAGTGATGTCACTAAAACCAAACTTCTTGCTTACTGCGGCAACGATCTCTTCGGCGATTTGCGCCTGCGCCGAGTCGGACACATCTATGTAATAGCACTCGCCATTAGCGTAGTGGCACGATATCGATTTTCGGTGAGTCTTGGTAACATTGGGTCCCGATCCGTGCACCAATAGCGGGTGAAAGAAGATAGTGTCTCCTGGACTCATGACGAAGTGAACCCTCTTGTCCATAGGTGCCACTGACTCTTCTTCCAGGACGCCGTGGTACAAAGCCTTGCCTTCATCCTTGCTGTTAGCATGAGCGTAAATCTTCTCCAGCTTATGTGAGCCTGGTACCACGTACAGACATCCGTTCTCCTGAGTAACATGGTCGACAGCCGTCCAAGCGGCCACGATTTTGTGCGCTGGGCGGAACGGGAAGTAATACAAGTCCTGATGTGGAGGATGAGGAGTAGTACCCGGCGGTTTGTTGATGAACATAGTGTGCATCCCCATGAGGTTTACGTCTTCTATCTTTTTGGTGTCACCAGGAATGAGCTGAGACACCACGTGCAAAAGGCGGGGGTCCTCGAAATACTGGCTGAACACATCGTCGAAGAGAATATCTTGAAGCTTATTGACAGCATCCTCTCCTTTAACTCCCGCGGCGACAAGGGGAGGCTCCTTCACGATTGTGATGTTCCCACGGTCCACTAAGCCCTTGCATATTTGAACGAAGCGTTGTTTATACTTGTCGAGGGAAGTGGCTTCAATCAGCTCCTTGATCGATAGATACCCATTGTCAGCGTAGAATTTTTTTTGCTCTGGAGACACAGTGTATTGCCTCAAAAACGCTGTAAACACAGGTTTCGGCACTACTTTTAAAGACCTTGTTATCATTGTTTCACAATAATAAGAAAACTTGTAGAGCACGAATAAATGACTCGTAAATACTATTCACTGTCACTGTTCATTCGTTCAAATTCCGATGTTCAATGGCTGTCTTTATACGTTTGTTATTAAATTCTTATCGTAATTCGCTGAATACAAGTAATAATCGCAACTTAATGACTTTGAAAAAAACAGTGTTATAGATTATGAATGATAAGGCATACTTACATAACAAAAATAATCTAAACTAATATTATAAATGCGAAACTCTGTTACGTTTTCACGCCTACACCGCTGCACCAATTTCTATAATTTTGCTATACAGATAGATGAGACATAGAAAAAGGACACAGGCTACTTATTGATACAAAAATAAATCTTAAATAGGGTGCATAGGGGATGAAAGTTTGTATGACGAACCAATAAAACTCTGAAAATTAGTATAGTACTCGAAACTCGAGACAATTTTTAATACTACTCGAAGTACTTATTCTACGCAGACAAAGGCACGGGCGGTAGCTAGTTAACAATAAAGTGGTATACAATCCATATATTAACTTGCATTTGTATTATTCAGGGCTTATTCACTCTTACTCCAAAAGTTGGAATATATGGGTATAAGGCATAATCAACTTCGTCTGTTCTCTAATTACTTGACAGATAGGTGACAAAGAGTGCGTGTGGGTGGGATAATTATTAACTACCTGCCCATACCTAACAGCGTGCCGCAAGAAAATGTTGTGGACCCCACACTGTTCCTCGCCTACATAAACGACCCTCTGTTATGTCCAGCTCCATAATGAAAAAATAGTAGCATTTGCCGATGACTCTGCCCTAATTTTTCGTGTAAATATCTCCACGAGGCAACCGGTGTATGGCATTGGTCACAGTGGCTACAACTTAGTTTATTCCTGGCACAAATACAACGCCCTAACACTGAACGTAGGAGAAACGAAATTTATTTCTTTGTCGATTAAAAACATTCCTAGGACCATTCATGACAATTACTCCATCACAGCTCACACCTGTCTCGACAATCAATCATGCTCCCTAATCTTACATTAGCTTCCCATATCAAATAACTTGGTGTCATGATAGATAAAACTCTGAGCTTTAATCTGCACATTATGGATAACGTGAATTTTACAATTCTCCTATTTAAACATAAAAAGTTATAGACTAATTTCGTTCGTAGAACCTTTAAAACTCTCCTGAAAAGTTATCAAGTTGTTGTTGACTTCTTCTAGAACCCTGCTACCACTTATAGGATGGATCAGCTAAACATCAACTGGCCTTTTCGGGCTCAACTGGCTTGTTTCCGTTGAGAAGCGTGTCAAGAGGTTGGTAGGTGACTCGAATTCAGTAGAGGCGAAGCTGCAAATCCTTGAACACCGCCGAATCAATATTCTAGGGGGTTTAACATGGAGAATGTGCGACGGATTACATGAAATAATTCATAATAGACGTGGTCTTGGCCCGTCTTGGATTCCATCCCTGTATTCGCACAAAACATTACGGAGGAGCGGGTACCTAATGGAAAACGAGTTTTTCTCATCCGCTCCATTGTAGAAGGTTTGGACGTAGACTGTAGGCAAATGTTCGCTACATACCTTTTTGAGCCTTAGACACCGCTGTAAAGTTGTATAACGCTTCACATGTATATGGCGCACGACATTGAAGTGGAATTCCCTGCTTGCAGTTTTGTTTTCTTTTTTTCCTTAACTTGATGCTTTAAAGTTTTTTTTTTATAATATCAAGTGATGGGATGAATAAGTCGTGCGCCTGATGTAAGCTACACACCGGTCCATGACAGTTGCAGTGCCACTCAGAGCTTTAAAACGCAAAGCCTGAGGGGCACTGCCACTGCGCCCGTCACCTTGAAACATAAGTTGACAAGTCTCATGTGCCTGTAATTTCACGAGCACCCTTACCCTTCTAAACTGGATCGCGGTAGTGCTGACATTACTGCTTGGCGGCAGAAATAAGTAAGGTGGCAGTATTTCCAAGGACGAACTCTTTGACAAGGAGCTCTACTGCTACTTAAAACTTATAATGTGAAATTTTAAACTCTCCTTATAAGTATGGAAGATTTTAGTATCAATAGAGCAATAGGCACTACTACTCTACTACAGCTAAAGCCTATAGTGAATAGGCAATATATCGACGTGCATGCGCCATAATCGATCTCATCGTCACTTTCCATCAAAGAACTGAGATTTATCTATAAAAAAAGCTCAAGCCCCTTGTCAAAAAAATTTAAACCAATAAAACATTAAAAGAACAACTAACTAGTGTCAAAGTTTAAAATTATTGCCACAAAAAGCGTGACAAATTCCTCACAAAAAATGAAGAATCTACAAAAACATGTTCGATTTATTTTTAGAAAATTCTGTGAATGTTTTTGTAAATTAATTGTACGTTATTTTAAATCTGCACGTCGGAGAATGTTCACAAAAACTTTTCTAAGGCTTGTGAACTTCCCAACAAAAAGTCAATTTGTCCACAAGTGTGTTCAACTATGATGATCAGCCGTTCCCAATATTCAATCCATGTTTGAAGATAGCTATCTTCGATCGTTAGTGACTATCTATCTATCTTTTAAACACCCCAATAACTGAGACAACTGTTAATTATTTGCAGTAAACAGTGGATATAGCCATATAACACATATAGCCTATTCGTGCCTTCTCTTGCGTCTCGTTTAACGCAGAATTTTAGGGAGGTCTGAATTTTTTTTTTATAATATCAAGTGAGACTGCCGCTGCGCCCGTCACCCTGAGACATAAGTTGACAAGTCCCATGTGCCTGTAATTTCACCAGCACTCTTGCCCTTCAAAACCGGAACACTGTAATGCTGACATTACTGCTTGGCGGCAGTACTTCCCTGGAAGAACTCTTTCACTAGGAGCTCTACTGCTACTTAAAACTATTAATGTGAAATTTTAAACTCTCCTTAAAAGTATAGAAGATTTTAGTCGCAACAGGCACTTGGGACTTGTCAACTTATGTCTTAAGATAACAACGCAGTGACAGTGTCTCTCAAATCTTCGCTATTTAAAGCTCTGAGTGGCACTGCAACTGTTACGGACAGGCGTGTCGCTTATCACCAAGTAGACGACTTGTTCGTCCCGTCACTTAGCATTATAAAAAAGTTATCGATCAAATTCGTTCAAGTTGTCATGTAACAGATATTGCCTTATTATTATTACATCGAGGGTACGTTTTTGCATACATTTGACAAATTTGTTTTATTAGTCAAATTAAGTAATTTTGTTTCAATTACCTATTTCCAAAGTATTTAAGTAAGTAAATATTTAGTAGTATTTTCTTTGCTCTGAATACCAAGGTAGCGAAATTATCTACAGGGGCTACACTAGAAGATACCAACAGCTATTTATAGTCATCATCATACTAGCCGGAAGACGTTCACTGCTGAACATAGCCCTCCCTCAAAGATTTCTAGACTAGTCGATCGGACGTGACATTCGTCCATCTGTCACCCGCCGCCCTTACCAGGTCATCCGACCATCTAGTAGGGGACCGTCACACAAACGCCTTCCGGTTCGTGGTCTCCATTCTTTACGTAATATTTGTTGAAAACGTCATTTTTTAAGCTACTGCTCGTTCACTACGCTAACCTCCCTGAGAAGAACGAGAAAGAAACTCTAGGGATTGCTCTTTCAAATAAACTTAAATGCTCTGGAATTACACTTTTAACATAATTGTGTAGAATCTAGATGCATATTGTCTTACCATACATCTTTATCTAACACATACTCTTCAATTTTGTAATATATTCTCCGGAATGTTATTGTAAAAACGTATACACTTCCCCATAAAAGAATCGTTTACCTTGTAAACGAAATCGTGGTGCCATGAGTTTGGACTTAGTTCTAAGTTTAATATTATCTTCTTTAAAATGAAATTATGTATATTTTTATATAGATATGATTTAGATTTGTGGATTACAACTTTATTGCGATGGACGTTGTTATAGAACGCCTTGTGTATAGCAGTGGAAGTAAGAAAGCAGGAGAAACCTTACAATATAACAAAAAACGGAACTTTTTTTTCCAAATTGGCTAAAAAATATTCATATTTTTTTTATTTTCCGAATATCCGTTACCAGATCTCGTAGGTAGCACCTACACTGACAGTTTGACAGATTTATTGCTACAAAAAACCGCCCACCCCGTCCTATCCCAGTACTCGCGTTAGGTAGTATATGGATATGACCTTTCCTCGTGCGAAAACTGTCAGAAAATACTAGCTGTAAATGTTAGATTGTGAGGAATTTTTGTAATACTTTTTTATAATTTTGTAATAATAGATAAATAATAATAATAATAAATTCAGTGCTATTTACTAAAGGTCAGGCTTTGATCAGTCATTCATCACTCATTTCCATAGCGTACTGAAGACCTTGAAAATTATAATGTGTAGTAATGTATAGGCTAACAATGCAATCGTAAATTTCCGTAAGTTCCGAGTGGCTCCGAAGCTTCGAGATTTAGAAAATAGTAGATACTGTAAAAAAAAATATTTTCATTTTGCTTCCATATTCAACGTTTTATTGCATATTTGAACACAGGCATCTCCAAAACTCGAAGCTTCCTTACCTTCCTTGGTAATAGAAATTGCTACATAATGTCGGTCTTCTCCTCACTAGTTGATAGGTTGACCGAAGTACAGAGTAAGAGATTTGTGTTTAACTTTATATCCAGGATGGCGCAGTGGAAGTGCCCGTCAGATCCTTGCGATTTAAACCTCTGACTGGCACTGCAACTGTTATGGATAGGCGTGGCGCATAATTAGTTTCATCTTCGTGTTATTTTTATAATTTTCATGTGATAAAAGAACCATTAATGCACTGTTGACGTTTTGATCACTTGTGACTTTATCATACCTAGAGTGGTGGAATAAAATCCAACGGGAATGTCCACATTATTCTTTACAATTGCCCTTCATTAAAAACCAAAATCAGTAGCAATAATGAGGTGTCGTATTTACCATAAAAATAACGA